TCAAGGCACAGGCTTGGACTGCTTTACATCGTGGTATATATTTCCATCTGCAGTGAACAAACTGGCAATGAGTTAAAATTACCACCCCTTAATCCTACCCCAGCTGGTTGAGATCAAATTGCCAACATCTTCTGAATCATCAGAAAAGCAAGAGAGTTACAGAAAAACATCTATTTCTGCTTTATTGACCATGCCAAAGCCTTTACCTGTGCAGATCACAATAAACTGTGGAAAATTCTGAAAGAGACGGGAATACCAGACCACCTGACCCGCCTCTTGAGAAATCTGTATATATATCAGGAAGGAACAGTTAGATCTGGACATGGAGAAACAGACTGGCTCCAAATGGGAAAAGGAGGATGTCAAGGCTGTATATTGTCACCCTGCTTATTTAACTTACATGCAAAGTACATCATGAGAAATGCTGGGGTGGATGAAGTACAAGCTAGAATCAAGATTGCCAGGAGAAATATCAATAACCTCAGATATCCAGATGATACCCCCCCTTATGGCAGAAAGTGAAGAACTAAAGAGCCTCTTGATGAAAGTGAAAGAGAAGAGTGAAAAAGTTGGCTTAAAGCTCAACATTCAGAAAACTAAGCTCATGGCATCTGGTCCCATCACTTCATGACAAATAGATGGGGAAACAGTGGCTGACTTTATTTTGGGGGGATCCAAAATCACTGCAGATGGTGACTGCAGCCATGAAATTAAAAGATGCTTACTCCTTGGAAGGAAAGTTATGACCAACCTAGACAGCATATTAAAAAGCAGAGACATTACTTTGCCAACAAAGGTCCATCTAGTCAAGGCTATGGTTTTTCCAGTAGTCGTGTATGGATGTGAGAGTTGGAGTATAAAGGAAGCTGAGCGCCGAAGAATTGATGCTTTTGAACTGTGGTGTTGGAGAAGACTCTTGAGAGTCCCTTGGACCACAAGGAGATCCAAGCAGTCCATCCTAAAGGAGATCAGTGCTGAATATTCATTGGAAGGACTGATGTTGAAGCTGAAACTCCAATACTTTCTCCACCTGATGAGAAGTACTGACTCATTTGAAAAGATCCTGATGCTGGTAAAGATTGAAGGCGGAGGAGAAGGGGATGACAGAGATGAGATGGTTGGATGGCATCACCAATTCAATGGACATGAGTTTGAGTAATCTCTGGGTGTTGGTGATGGACAGGGAGGTCTGGTGTGCTTCAGTTCATGGGGTGGCAAAGAGTCGGATATGACTGAGCAACTGAACTGAACTGAATCCTACCCAGCACTGATCATGTGGAGACCTTAGGGATGCCCAACTCCACTCGGGGGTCCCAGGAGGTCAACGTGCCCTGACCTGCCTAGGGATCTGGTCCTTGAAAAGTTGTCACGCCTCAATCTTCTCGCGGATCCACCAGTCCAGGGGTCCCAAGAGGTCATCATGCCTCAACCTGCCCAGGGACCCAATTCTTTTTTTTTTTTACTTTTATTTTTTATTTTTTTTGTTTGGTTTTTGTCATACATTGAAATGAATTAGCCATGGATTTACATGTATTCCCCATCCCGGTCCCCCCTCCCACCTCCCTCTCCACCCGATTCCTCTGGGTCTTCCCAGTGCACCAGGCCCAAGCACTTGTCTCATGCATCCAACCTGGGCTGGTGATCTGTTTCACCCTAGATAATATACATGTTTCGATGCTGTTCTCTTGAAACATCCCACCCTCGCCTTCTCCCACAGAGTCCACAAGTCTGTTCTATACATCTGAGTCTCTTTTTCTGTTTTGCATATAGGGTTATTGTTACCATCTTTCTAAATTCCATATATATGTGTTAGTATACTGTAATGGTCTTTATCTTTCTGGCTTACTTCACTCTGTATAATGGGCTCCAGTTTCATCCATCTCATTAGAACTGATTCAAATGAATTCTTTTTACTGGCTGAGTAATATTCCATGGTGTATATGTACCACAGCTTCCTCATCCATTCGTCTGCTGATGGGCATCTAGGTTGCTTCCATGTCCTGGCTATTATAAACAGTGCTGCGATGAACATTGGGGTGCACGTGTCTCTTTCAGATCTGGTTTCCTCGGTGTGTATGCCCAGAAGTGGGATTGCTGGGTCATATGGCAGTTCTATTTCCAGCTTTTTAAGAAATCTCCACACTGTTTTCCATAGTGGCTGTACTAATTTGCACTCCCACCAACAGTGTAAGAGGGTTCAGGGACCCAATTCTTGTGAGGCTGACCTGCCTCGACCTGCCCAGAGATTCGACCTCCAGGAGGCTGTCACACCTCAGCCTGCCTGGTGGTCTCTGCCCGGATCAAGAAGCTACAACATGCAGTGCCAGTTCAACTAGGATAGATAAAACTTTCCAACCACGGAAAATATCACTCACCCTTAGATGGATACTGCTGTAAGGACTCTGAGGCCTGAGACTAGCAAGAGGGGGAGGCCCAATTCCCATTCGCCATTCCAGTCCAGGAGTGACTAGCCAGAGAGACTGCGATACCCCTATTCCCAAAGAATTGGGCCTCCCACCTCTTGAGTGGTGAATATTACACAGTTAGAATAGGAAAAAATGAGTCCAGAATGGCGGTGGCTAAAAGACAAGGAAGGAAAAAGCCCGCAAAAATAGAACAAAGGAAGGTCCGAGGACCAGAGTGAGGACCTCAGGTAGAAAAAACAGGACTCCTGGCTTGCCCAATTTACAGAGGGCAGGCCCAGAGGGAAGAATAACATATAAAAAAGGAGCCAAAGGCCAGGGATCTCTCTCCCTCCCACGCACTTTCTCTCTCTCTCTCTCTCTCTCTCTCTCCTCTTCATGTCTTTTGGGTCGGCATGCTCTCATGCCTCAAGGATGTACTTTCCTTTTATTTTCTAAATAAAACTGAACTGTAACACGGAGCTTTTAACACTGGTCTGTCCGAGAGCTATAACACAGTCTGTCCTAGAGCTAAGAGCTATAACAAGGTCTGTCCAAGAGCTGTGACACGCCAAGGGCTTTAACATCTGTGACTTCAAATTTTTGTTGTGAGGAGACAGAACTGAGGAAATTGTGCACTCACCTGACAATTTTAATTACTAACAATAATTTACCAGACTTCCCTGAAGGTCCAGTGTTTAAGAATCCACCTTTCAATGCAGGGGCTGTGGATTTGATTCCTGGTCAGGGAACTAAGATCCCACATGCCACAGGGCACCTAAGCCCATGCTCTGTAACCAGAGAAGCTGACATGCCACCACGAAGACCCAGCACAGCCAAAACAAAGAGAGAGAGAGACTCAATATTTTAAAAACATTGAGGGAACACCAATAAAAACACTACTAGACTACCGATTAACTAGTCTACAGGCATGGCAGAACCCCTCACTGCCACACAGAGGGTCAGGGCTTCATTCCTTATGCTTCACACTGACCTGTCCAAGGCCCCACACAGCTAGATAAGCAGCACCGTTAGGACCAGAACTCAAAGCTGTTTGACGCAAAACCTACAAACATCCACCCTTAACTCAAAGCCAACATGCCTCTCTAGTGCTCTCCACACAGCCCCCTGGCCCCTTCCTCCTGGGGAGGCTCCAGGGTGGGGTTGCTGTCAGTGTGTAGAGTAGCCACACTGTACAACTCCGAATGAGAAAACCACTCAGACACCACCACCCATTCCTTTCAACACTAGACAACAGGGTCCGTAAACTACCAACAAAGGTTTTCATCCAGAGGATGAATTACCTGAAGAAATGAAAGGTCCCCCACTCTCCATGTCCCTGCTGGTGACTGGGGTACAGGAGGGTGGGTGTCGTTTGCTTTAATTGAAGAAGCCTGGGAGACGGAAAGGCGAGTCTGTTTACAATACGGGCTAAGCATCTCCTGTTTACCTGCTGCTGCTGCTGCTGCTGGCTCTGGAACCTGGAGGGAGCGACTTTTGGTACTTGCTGAATTTCTTCACAGGGGACCCAGCCTCTCTGGGCCCCTCCTCACTGCCGCTGCTTTGAGCCACTGTGGGAGGAGCTGTGGGGGCTTCTTCTGAAAACGTGCCAGCAGTCTCCTGGGCAGAGAACTCAGGGGATCCTACAGAACAAGTGGAGAAGCAGCCAGGTGACCTCATGGAAGCTTGGCTGAGTGAATATTTAATGGAAAATGATTTATCTTGTTGGCACATACCTTCCACTGCTTAACTATCCACATCCCCAAACCCTGGCACTGGGCTAACACTTCCCATGCCCGAGCTTACAGATTCCCCCGGCCCCCCACCAACAGAGATGAGAAAATGAAGGGTGGAGCGATCAGGGGAATTGCCTGAATTTGCACAGTTGGCAGTAGAGCTGGGATGCAACTCCAGGTGGGAGAGGGTCTATTAAAATGGACCCAGGAAAACAGAGTGGACGGGACCTCACCAAGAGGCCATGTGCCCCCACCTCCACCCAGTGCTATGTGAGTCAGGCTGGCCAGGCAGCCCCTCTGAGGATGACGGCCGCACCTACCCCACGGGGCTTTTTTCAGTGACACAAGAGCCCTGTGCTCCTACTGAGGTCCTCCAGCAACCACATCACCACCGCTGAGCAGTAGTGCTAATGACGACAGTGACGACACCACAAGGACGCGGGTGCTTCTGCATCTTGAGATGTGCTGCGTGCTTCGTGACATCTCCCAGGACCCTTAGCCTGGGAGGTAGGGGTGGTGTGGGTGGGGATGGGTACAGACTCTCCTCAACCCACTTCATTGATGAGGAAATGGGCCTCAGAGGAGAGGCACGTGGCCAGCTGGCTTCAGTGGTAGAAACAGGATGTGAACCCAGGCCCCTGATCCAGGCCTGAACTCCTAACAACTGGGATCCCCATTGGCCACAGTTTGTGCTGAGAAGCCAGGGAGATGCTCAGTGACACATCCCCGGTTTCCAGGTCAGGGGCCAGGCTCACTGCTCACCTTTCTGCATGGCAAGGCCATTCTCCCAGGGAGTCGCCTTCTCAGCCCGCGGAGAGCAGGGGGTTTCCTTCTCTGCCTGCTTCTGGGCCTTACTCGCCCACTAAGCCTGCTTGCACTTCTGGTCCAGCTGCTTGAGTTTGGCGGCACAGGCGTCCAGCCTCTCCTCTCGGCGCTTCCGGTCTCGTTCCACAGCCTCTGCCATCTCTGCCTGGGTGAACTTCTGCCACGTGGGGGTCTTGTCCTCTTTGTCCTCAACAGACTGCTGCCAAAATTTGGTGCCCATGGAGGACTTCTGCTGAGAGGACGGTCAAAGGAAGTCACAACTCAGAGACAGGCCACTCCATGGAGTGGGTCGGCTCCTATCCCAAGACCCTTGGGCACCTTCAAGAGGCCCATGGCAAGAGGATCTGGGCTTTGATCCTGCTCTGCCCTTCACTGTATTTGGAAAGAGGGCTGGACAAGCACCAACAGTCTAAACTCTAATTTCTCTTTTGGAAACTGTGGATAATCAAGGAAGCCCTCCAGGTTGTAGAGGTGCACTGAATCTTTTGCAAACCTCAACACTGACTGAAATGTAGGCAACACTCAAGAGAAAGGATGCTCCTGCAGCCAGCTCTGGGCATGCAAGGTCAGGGCATCCACAGCTAAACAACAGGAACAGCAAACCACATGCTCATCACTTCCCAGCCACAGAACTACCCTACTGCTTCTCCCATGACAGCAGATGAACCTCTGAATACAAAGAGCCCCATGACACCAGAACTCACAGTCATCCATGAGGTTTCAAAGTGATCATATGTAAAAACAAAAAAGCATCTCTAAAAAAGTCTCTTTGAGGTATTTTGTCTACTTTTGAGTCTCTCGTTGACTGTTAGTTACTAGACAACCACCAGGGTGCCAATGATGCAGTGTGAAAATCTCTCAATTCTGGGAAGATTTCTCACTGATATGCAGGAAGTGAGGCTGCAGGCAGAATATGCAGCAGTACAAAGGATGAGCTGGGTTCCTGGATCCCAGACACTGGAAGTCTAATGACATATGACTGGCACAAAAACAGTCAACTTCTTGTTTTGAGTGATAGCTACACAGATGAATGTTAACTGTCAAAAGTCATCAGACATAAAAAAAAAAAACCAAGATCTGGGACTTTTCCTGTATTTCAATTGTTATCGTTCAGTCGCTAAGTCTTGTACGACTCTTCTGCAACCCCATGGACTATAAGGTTCAAGAGAAAGGCCGCCTCAGGTTTAGAATAGGGCTCAGTCACTAAGTTGTGTCCAACTCTTCGAAACCCATGGACTATAACCCACCAGGCTCTTTTGGCCATAGCATTTCCCAAGCAAGAATACTGGAGTGAGTTGCCATTTCCTTCTCCATGGGATAGTGCTGACCCAGGGATCAAACCCATGTCTCCTGCTTTGGCAGGTGGGCTCCTTACCACTGAGAAGCCAGGGAAGCCCTTTATGTAAATTACACCTCCTTAAAAGCAGTAACTAACAGTGACCCTAGACAGTGACTTTTCTCCTAAAACTAACTTTTCATAATGCAGAAGCAATTACTACAAGATTATAAATGTCTGATTTAGAAGCACAAAGGTAACTTTTACATAATATAATTGGGGCCAAGTGTGTATTCTCCTACTTTGCCCCGACTGATGCCATCTGTCCAGGCACCATAACGGTTGTGCACTGTCTCACTGAGAGACTCCACCAGGACAGATCTCACCCCCGGGTGCTCAGGACGCCTTGCAGATGATCTCTAAGGCAAACACCTGATTATTCCCTTCAGAACTTCCAGGAAATGAAATACCAGAATGAAAGGGTATGGGCATATCATCAAGACTTCAGATGTGCCTTTCAAATTGCCCAAAGTGGGCTATCATTTTATAAACTAAATGTTCTGCAAAACATTTAAGCAGTGACAATCTTTTCAGAAATTTGGATTCATGAAATGATAAGAGATTTTATCTTTGTTGACTTTCGACAATGACAAAAACACTCAAGATGATTCAGTGTTCTTATGAGCAGATCATATTTTAAAAAAAGAAACCTTTTTTTTGCATATGGAGCAATCCCAATATGTGAATGAAATCTGGGTTAATTGCAAGATAATTTATAAGAGCTGTACTGTGTGTATTTTCACTCTTTTTTCCATTCATTTTTATTAGCTAGAGGCTAACTACTTTACACTATTGTAGTGGTTTTTTCCATACATTGACATGAATCAGCCATGGATTTACATGTATTCCCCATCCCGATCCCCCCTCCCACCTCCCTCTCCACCCAATCCCTCTGGGTCTTCCCAGTGCACCAGCCCTGAGCACTTGTCTCATGCATCCAACCTGGGCTACAGAACAGACTTTTGGACTCTGTGGGAGAAGGCGAGGGTGGGATGTATTTTCACTTTTGTGTCCCCTGTACTGAGCACAATTCCTAGCGTGATATATGATGTGTGCTCTGCACAAAAGACTCAAGATAAAGGGCATTTTCACTTTAGAGGAAGATGTGGAACAGGAGCCCCTTAAATAGCAAAGTGCACTGAAAATGGCAAATCTGCCAAGTTTATTAAAATTAATGCCTTCCCCTCCACAGCTCTGCCCTTCCTGCTCAGTTCCATCCCAAAGTCAGGCAATGTGGCAGAACCAGGCCGGCACCTGGTGCCGGGGGGTCAGACAGCTCAGGGCAGGTGGTCAGAGCGCTCAGGGCAGGTGAGCAGGGTGTCCACATGGAGGTGTGGCTGATGAGGAAGGTGCAGCCCAATCAAGTGGGGTGAGGAAGGAACTTCTAGAAGAGAGGGCTCAGCAGGGAAATTCAGGGCCTCCAGAAGAGGGGGAGGCTGACATCTGAGGCGCTGAGGAGGGCACTTGTGCAAGGGAGAGGGTGAGGGTAGAAATAGGGAGACAAGGGAGACAATGGGAAACAGTCAGAATGAAGTGTGTGTGTGTGTGTGTGTGTGTGTGTGTGTGACAAACATACATTCCTCACTCTGTCACAAACATACATTCCTAACCCTGTGTGTGTGTCTCTCTCTCCAATACATACATTCCCTAACTGTCCTTGGAAAAGGCCAGAAGCAGCGGCACTCCTGCCCATGTACTGGTTTATAAGTGTCATTAAAGGCTGACTCCAGGGCCAAGGTTAGGCAAGGACAAAATGAGCTTGGAAAAGCTTGTTCCACCAGGAAGCAAGGAATCCCTCCTAAAAGAACAGAGACACGTGAAAAAGCACATGGCTGCCAGCCTGAAGCTCCCAAAGCAAAGACAACCTGAACACCCAAAGAAACAACGATACTGTTTAATTAAAAATTTGATGATAAACAGGATATTCATAGTCTTAAAGTAACTAGCCACAAAACTGCTATCAATTACGAATGTGAAGTGCATGTGAAAGCTCATGTTGTGAAACCCGGTAGCCAGCAGCTCAATCCTGAGACCAAAGTAAGGCTGTCACAGCGGGCAGAGAGGGACCAGGGTCACCCAGGTGGGAGCAATGAGAAGAGTCAGTGCCAGTTCTGAGAGACTCTAGCCAAAAAAAGGAAGCCTTGAACCTCACCACGAGGAAGCTCCAGACAAACCCGACTTGAGGCACACTGCACAAAGCAGTTGGCCTCTGATCTTCCAGAACGTCAGCCTCAGGAAAGTTAAGCGAAGGCTGAGGGGCCGCTTCTCACTGAAGGACTCCTGACCCTGACCCAGATTCCTGTGCATCAAGACCATCAACTGGTCAGTGGGGACAGTGGGACGGAGTCTGAGGACAAGGTGGCAGTGGTAGGTCAAGGCTAGCTTCCTAGATTTGACTGTGCTTACCTAAGAGGTGTCCTGTGGTGACAGAGCCTGATCACACTAGCAACTTACTCTTCCAATGGCTCAGGAAGAAATCTTCTGTGTATTGCACCAACTTTTCTGTAAGTTTGTGACTGTTCTCAAAATCTTAAAAGAAGGATTTCTAACTTAAAAAAAAAGACAGACTTCCCTGGAGGTGCAGTTGTTAAGACTGTGTTTCCAATGCAGGGGGCTCGAGTTCAATCTCTGGGCAGGGAAGTAGATCCCACATGCTGCACAGTGCAGTCAAAACAAAACAAAACAAAAAAATACAAAGGGAGGGAGGTTCAAGAGGGAGGGGCCATATGTATACCTATGACTGATTCATGCTAGTGTAGGGCAGAAACCAAGACAATACTGTAAAGCAAACACTCTGCAATTTAAAGTAGCTTAGAAAAGGAGAGAGAGTCCACTTAAGACTGTTTTCAGAAAACCGACCTGACCACTGAACTCAGTGAACCCTAATTGAATGTCCAGCTGAAAGAGTTAGACTCTGTCTGTAGTGACCAGGGACACACCACATTGAGTCCCCATGCCGGCCACCACTCAGTGTCCTCTGAGCTGGTTGAGACTCCTTCTGCACACCCCCACCTACAATGCACTCCTGAAACTTCCCTGGCTCCATCCCTTCCTGTTCATTGTAAAAGCACAGAACAGCCTTTCAGGCGACCTGCTGGAGTCTCTGCCTTGGATCTCTGGTCAACTGAACTTGGAAAGGGCTTGTGTGTGCACTCACGCACATGCCTGTCCCCCAGCTAAGCGGGCACAGAAGCGCTCCCGCCCCAGTGCCCACGGGACCTGGTAGTCAGGGCCTGATGCCCAGGTGTGCAGCTTTCTGGAAGGTGGCTGAGGTTCCAGCACCTTCCAGACGACATGCGTCACGCCTCCTGTTTCACTCCAGTCTTTAACATCCTCTTGGGTGCACTTGGCATAAGCACTGTCTGGAGAGCTCAAGGACACGTGCCGCTGCCTCCTGGGGTCCCAACTGTTCCTAGGAGGAATCGCGAAGACTTGGTTTTCCTGATCACCCCAGGCATGGGCTCATCTTCCCAGTCAGACCATAAAGAATTTGAAAGTTAGCTTCTACAAACCAATTTCTTTCCTAAAAGATCCACCCCGCACCCCCTTTATGGGTGAGAGGACACGCTCAGAGCACCTACACAGTACCCACTTTACCAGCCAGTTCAGTTGCTCAGTCATGTCCGACTGTGACCCCATGAACTGCAGCACGCCAGGCCTCCCTGTCCATCACCAACTCTCAGAGTTCACCCAAACTCATGTCCATTGAGTTGGTGATGCCATCCAGCCATCTCATCCTCTGTCTTACCCTTCTCCTCCTGGCCTCAATCTTTCCCAACAGCAGGGTCTTTTCCAATGAGTCACCTCTCCGCATCAGGTGGCCAAAGTATTGGAGTCTCAGCTTCAACATCAATCCTTCCAATGAACACCCAGGACTGATCTCCTTTAGGATGGAC